CACAAACATAACCCAATACCTTATTCAAACTCGTTCCAATCGTCAAAACACCTCAAACAACATCAAATCTACCAAATCACATCGAATTCAAGCCTAAGTTTCTCAATTCTTCCGAAATACGCTTTTGATCAAAAACCCAACCAAACCACCTCCAAATGACCTGAAATTTTACACACACTACCCAAATGACCTAACGAAGCTACTGCAACTCTCGGAATTCCATTCCGACCCCTATACCAAAATCTCGCCTATCAACCGGAAATCGCCAAAATCTCAACTTCGCCAATTCAAGCCTAAATCTTCTCTACACATCCAAAACCCATTCCGATCGCGCTCCTAAGTCACGAATCACCTCCCGAAGCTAACCGAACCATCAAACTCACATCTGAGCCCTCTAACACATAAGCCAATATCCGGTTGACTTTTCCAACTTAAGCTTTCTTAAAAGAGACTAAGTGTCTCCAACTTCACCGAAACCAATCCGGATTCAATCCAACCAACCGATACCTCACAACACAGATGAACAAAGCAAATAGGAGCAGAAATGGGGAAAACGGACCGGTAACTCATGAGACGACCGGCCGGATCGTCACAATACCTCTCAAGTATCTAGGAAACAAAGGTGGCTGACTTGAACAGACTCTAGCGCTCTTCGATATATATGAGCCAAAACTAGGGGTGTGCATTCGAATCGGTTTATTGATAAATCGAATCGATTATTTGTTATCGGTTTATCGATAACGGTTTCGATTTCGATTTCGAAATTTTCCTTATCGAGTTATCGATTTCGATTTTGTCCTCTTCGGTTATCGGTTTATCGATAAACCGATAAGATATACTAAAAAGACAAATATACCCTTATTCTATAATACCCTTTCAAGTGTTACAACTTACAAGAATTCTACCAATGAAATTTCACGTGGACAGAGCTGTTGAAGTTTCATTTAAAAGCTGAATATTATGGTTTGGTGTCAAATCTGAAAAGACAGAATAGACGAAAATCTTAAAAAATAAGTAAATTTACACTAATTATTTTTAACAGTCAAGTTAGCAAGAGATTATCTTAGCCCGCTGTGAGAAAGAATGTTTCCAATAAGATTTCTGAATATCACAAATATGTTTGTTTATTTTACTAACAACATTTATTGGTAAACAAAACAAAATATTTTAAAAAATATATCCAAGAATTCTTTTTTAAGTTAAAACAACTAATGTAGTTTTAAAAGACAGCTATTCATACGTTCTCTTACATTTGTAGAAGATTTGCTTAGACTTTAAATCACAAAGTTAATATATTCGGAGTGAATCGCTTCCTGTTGAGGAAGATTTAGATTTTCTCGAGACACTCGAGGAAGGTATGTATATTTTAATTAATTTTGTTGTATTACTTAAGATAGTCAAATAATATATTAATTGCTTGACTTGTTAATATATATTCTTATTAGATTTTATTAATCTTGGCAAAGAAGCTTCCACCGACGATGTTTGCTAGAGTTTGTTAGCTGCTATGTAAGTTCTCCATTTTAAATAATATACTTGTAAAAGAATATGATGTATCACAAAGTTCTTAATATTTTTCTTAATTTCTTCCAGGTTTAAAGGTTAGGACTTTCAACAAGGGATACAACATTTAGGGAATGATCATATTTAAAGCTCAAGGGAATGAAGTTCAAATTAATGGAAAATAGAATTAGCGTGATGATGTATTTTTTTTTATATCGTTGGAGTGTTGGTGGTATACATTTGATCCCTTACTTTAGTTTCGTTGCATGTGCTTGTTGACACAATTTTTATGTCATAAACGGTGTTCGTCTTATTTTAGCTTCTTTTTGTCCATATTAGTTAGGTGTGTTTATAGCGATATACTTTTCGTGGAATCTCGCAAATTTTCTTATTGGTGTAATCAATAACCGAATTGATAAGCCCCGAAAATCGATAAATCGAAATCGAAAAAATCGAAACCTTATTGAAACGATAACGATAAGCATATGTACAAATCGATAATCGATAAGGGTCAAAATCGAATCGGTAAATCGAATGCACACCCCTAGCCAAAACTGGTATTAATTGAAAGTTCTTGTTGAGAACAAACGATTAACACAAGTTTCAGGTCGAATCGTTCTTGGAAACCTCGAAGGAATCAAACCACTGAAATTAGGATTTCTGAGTATTTCTAGGTCTAGAATTTGGCGGTTTGGTGGGGATTTTGGGAAAACTGATGGTAGCTTTGGGTTGAGGATGAGGAGAGGAGTCTAGGGTGTGATTTTGGGGGCATTTGGGGTGGCACCGCCGCTGTGGGCGACTTCCGGTGGCGACAGACGGTGAAGATGATAGAGAGGTGAGGGAGATGAACTTTTGGAGGTCTCTAGGGTTTGGGGGGATCTAATTTCGGACAATAATAAAGGGGAGGGGGGTTCAGTTCACAGCCGTTAGGATCTAAGGTGATCAACGAATGTGATTTTGTTTTAATGAAACGGGGTCATTTGATAAAGGGAGGAATTGGACCGGGTAGGCTAACTGTGTTGGGTGAGATTTGGGCCATTGAAATTGTCTTCGGCCCAAATTTAAACAAAACCCAGCATACTCCTTAATTCTTTTTCTTTGTTTTTTTTCCCTTTTTAATTAAAAATCCTAATCAAATTAATTAAGAACCTAAGTTAATTTCTAAATCAAATTTATTCCTAACAATTAATTAATTTAGCACTAATGAAAGAAAATTAATGATTTAAAATTAAAAGCTAAGAATCAAATGACCATGGTATTTTTGAGATTTTTATTTAATATGCATCTAATAAATGTAATTAAATTCTAAAAATGTAAGTACACCTAAATTTATATGCAATGAATATTCTAAGAATTTTTGGTATTTCTTATAATTTTAAATAGGCAGAATGGCCTAAATGGCACCTGTACTTCACCCACTTTGTCATGCCGGTCCCCAAACTTACATATTTGCCAATTAAACACTTATACTCATTCAAAACGTGAATAATAAATGCTTATCCAATGAGGCTGCCAGTGCGTGTTTGACAATCGCCTACACGTAGGACGCCACGTCAATAAAATATATCCACGTAGGCTCCAAGTCACATCTGATGGCCAAATAGGATAAAAAATTATTCCCCCCCCCCCCCAACCCACATTTCCCCTTATTTTACAATTACCCCGCTAAATTAGGGCTTAGATAGTATCGAACAACAGTGAGTCGCTCCTCTCTTCTCCGTCGTTCTTGCCGGGATTTTCATCTGTACAGTTGTTATCAAAGTTTGTGGGGTAAGTTTCTTCATTTATTCTTCATATTTTGTCTTTATTGTTCTTCATTTCCTTCTATTTATGGGGATTTTGCTCTGTTTAGGATTTTTTAGGGGGAGGTTGGGTTAGGTCGTAATTGCTGTTTAATATCCCTTAATATATAGGGCTTTTGTTGTGTTTTGCTACATGTTAGAGTGAAAGGCCTTTTTAATGTAGTGTCATGCATGTAATGGCATATTTGGTTATTCTCTTTAGTGTTTTGGGTTTTTGTTTTCAAATCAGAATTTCATCCTAGTGTCTTGGTGTTTTTGTTGGGTCTCGTTCATGTTAGCGGTCCACCACAGTATTTTCTGAATATTATAAGGCATTGTGGGGACGAAAAAGGAATCTTGGATGCTTTTTTACTTTAAAAATCTGTCTTTTTTGTTGGTTTGTTTATGGAGTTGTGTAAAGGTGCAACTTTTGATAACAAATAGTCATTGATAACACTGTTTTTTTTTGTTTCTTTGCAGGTATGAAAAGAAAATGGCTTCAACCCTAGTTAACCTACAAATCCACCACATTGGTAATTTTGTATCCGACCCTGACCTAAGGTATGCAAATGGACTAACCTGTCCTCACTTAGCTACAGTTGATGTGGATGAGCTACATATTATGTTGTTTCACAAGTTTGCTAGGGACTTAGGATTTTTAGAAGTGGATTTGTTTGGATGTAAAGTTAACAAAAGTGGTGCCTATTTCATTTTAAAAACAGATGCTGATGTGTTAAATTTTCTTAATACATTGAAAGGTGGTGACTTTGTTGATGTTTGTATTGTCCATAAAATTAGTGAGCCTATTCTTGTTGAGGACATAACTGAACTAGACCCCACTATACAAACAGAGGGGCATGACAGTGGGTTAAATGAAGAGATAGAAGAATCAGATGAAGGTGAAAGTAATAACTTCTCTTCCTATCACCTTCAAACATCAGAATCTGAATCTGATGAGGACCTTGATGATTCTGAAGGGTCTGACTCACTATTTGATGTAGATGAGAACATTGAAGAGTGTAGTGATTTGGAAGACGATTTAGTTGAAATTAGACAGCCTAAACTCAACAAAAAGAAGGATGCCCAAGTAAATGTAGATGAGATACCATCTGGTCCAGTTGGTGTAGATGATGGTTTTGAAGATATGCATAAGAACAGAAGGGGAAAATATGAAGGGAAACTAGGAGGGGATGACCAGTATTTTGATAGCTCAGATCCAGGTAGTGAGTGTAGTGATGATGACAGAGAACCTGTTGGCCCTGATGAAGTAAGGGATGCTCCAGCTAGGAATCCAAGTAAGAAGGTGTATTTTGATACAACTTCCAAAAAAATATTTTTTGAACTGTATATGATCTTTGAGAATGTTGTACAGTTTAGGGAGGCATTGCAGACATATTCTATTCAAAAAGGTGTCAACCTTAAGTTGAAACCTAATGAGAAGGAAAGGGTTAGGGCAAAGTGCACAAAAAAAGGATGTCCATGGCATATCCTTGGTAGCATTGAAGGCAGCATCAGAAACTTTAGGGTATTACATACTACCCTGTCCATAAATGCTACAAGAAAACAAGGAACAAGATGTGTAACCCACCATGGATTGCAAAAAAATTCAAAGACAGAATAGTTAGTGAGCCTCAAATTAAACTTCATCAGATTCAAGCCTTACTTAGGCAATCATATGGCTTGTATGTGAGTAAAACTTCCTGTAGAAGAGCAAAAATGATAGTTATGAAGGAGAATATGGGTGATTACAAGAAAGAATTTGCTAGGCTTCATGATTATGCAGAAATGCTGAAGTCTACTAATCCTGGCACTACTGTAGTGATAAGGACATCTAAGGATTCAGTTTCTGGCAAGGAAGTCTTTATGGGCATTTATGTCTGTCTTGAAGCATTGAAAACTGGATGGTTAGAAGGGTGCAGAAACATAATTGGCTTTGATGGTGCATTCCTAAAGGGGACATGTAAAGGTGAACTGCTTTCCTGCATTTCCAAGGATGGAAATAATCAAATGTTCCCTGTGGCTTGGGCAGTAGTTGAAAAGGAATCAAAGGATACATGGTCTTGGTTTATCAGGTGTCTCAAGCATGATCTAAACTTGACAGAAACTGAAGGAGAAGGGCTGACAGTCATGTCTGATATGCAGAAGGTATGGTTTCTAATACTCTTTCTTTAAAGTGTAATTGTTTTCATTTATGTTTAAGTTATAACAATATAATTTTTATGACTGTAGGGTCTTCATCTAGCAATAACTCAGTTATTGCCAAATGCTGAAATGAGATGGTGTGCTAGACATATCTGGGCTAATTGGAAGCAAACTTGGCCTGGTGAGGAAAGAAGGAAAAAATTCTGGCAGTGCGCAAGAGCTACATTTGAGGTTTACTTTAGCAAGAAGTTGGATGAAATGGACCAGCTGGGGGGAAATATTGTTCAGGACTTAATGAAATACAACAAGGAAACATGGTGTAGGGCATATTTCAAAGACCATAGTAAGTGTGATGTAGTTGAGAACAACATGTGTGAGACATTCAATAGTTGGATATTGGCAGCTAGGCACAAGTCTATCATTACTATGTTAGAGGAAATTAGAATCAAGTGTATGGAGAGGATGAATAGCATGAGAGAGTTTTCTAAAAAATGGGTAGGTGAGATATCACCCATGGCTATGGAAATACTTGGAGAGAATGCTCAAAGGGCAGCCAAATGTGAAGTCGAATTTAATGGTGAAACAGGGTATGAGATCCAGGATGGGCCATATAAACATGTTGTTGACTTTAGGGCATATACCTGTACTTGTAGATCATGGCAACTCAAAGGAATTCCATGTGCACATGCAATTACAGCAATGCATTACAAGAACTATGAGGTTGAGCCATATGTTGATCATTGGTATAGAAAGGATACCTACCTTAAGGCATATAGCAGATTCATTCAACCGTTAACTAGTATGAATTTGTGGCCAACAAGCACACTGCCAGCTATTGAGCCACCTGTTATAACTGCAATGCCGGGAAGGCCAAAGAAAAAAAGGACAAAGGCTGCTGATGAACCAAAGAAGAAGTTTGGGAAGGGTACAAGGATAGGGAGACAAATGAGATGTTATTTGTGCAAGACTGTAGGACATAACAAGAAAGGATGCCCATCAGCAGTAAGTATTAATGTTTGTTTTGTTACTAATATTGAAAGAATTCAATTACTAGTGATAGTTTTGTTATGTGTATGCAGAAAAACCAAGAGGGAAGGGCTGGATCTAGTTCAGGTAGAGGTGAAACTGCTGAAAGTGGAACTGCAGCAGCTGGAAGTGCATCAACAATACCTGCAAGTACATCAACAACACCAGCAATCCTTGATCCAAGCACACAACAATCAACTAATGTTGCAAGAGGTCCAAAAAGGAAGACCAATGAGCCTAGAAGAGGTGGTGCAAATGCAGGGTCTAAGAGAACAAAGACAGCAGGATATGGTGTGCTATTTGATTCAAGTGGCACTGTTATACAGAGGGTAAATATTTCAACTCAATTACACAATGGTTTACTACATAATCCCTCACTCACAACCTTTTATTTTTGTGCAGTCTGGAACTACTGACAGAGTGGTACACAATCCTTCTACACTCATAAGTTCTGCTCCTACCAACATTGAACTTAGGTTCAAACCACCTGGACTAAAGTGGAAGGGCCGACCAGCAGTTACACAAAGGCAGCTGCAAGAACAGAGTTACAGAAGGGCAAAGTCTGCTACAACCACTCAAGCCACACCAGTTACACAATCCACACCAAGCAGCCAAGCCACAACAGACATTAATTGAAGTGCTCAACTGATATTTACTATGTTTTTGTTGACTGTGGTAGACAATATTTTGTAAAGCTACTTCATTATGTATGTTTTTGTTGATTGCCTATCATTGACAATATTTTGTAAACCAACTCCCTTATTTTGAATGTTTTGTAAACCAGTACTTGTTGCTGTAATGGAGCCTTTGTCAATATATTTCATGAACAAAATTTTACATCAACACAAAATATGTAGCCTAAACCCAGGAAATAACAAAGTGCACTATCAATCCTAAACAAATAACATAATAGCTAACATTAGAACAAGTACAACCACAATTATAATAGCAGCAACTCTCAACTTCGACCTTCCTTGACTTCTTTGACAATGGCATCGATCACTCTTCTTAATAAGAGCCGCAAGAAGAGTCTTGTAGTGTTCTTCCTCAATCGCAGGATCAACCCATCTGAAAAAGCCACAACCTTCACCAATCTCATATCTTCGGCAGCCCAGGAACCTCCTTCCAGGATTGGTGGGTGTTCGTGACATTTTAAGATCTGCAGCAACTCCACAATAACACAAAGGTTGCATCCTCATTGTTGAAGGAGAAGAGGCGGCAATAGCGTATTTGTTGCAGGAGAAGCAGAAAAAATCCACTTTCAAAACAAAAGGAGATTGCAAAAATTGATGGGCAAAGAAGATTCACATGAAATTAAAATTCTATTTTTGACAGTTGAAGCTAACAAAGAAAGAAGAAGGCATCAGAATTTAGCTTCTACAATGTTCAACAATGGAGAATAAGGTACAAAGAAGAAGATGGATGTTAAATAGGCTAAATTATTGCCGTTAGGGCTTTTTTTACTGTCTTCACGCCCCTTACAGGCGTGTGAATCACGCACTGCAGCCACATATGACACATATGATAAGCCACGTTGGATAAGCGTTTATTATTCACGTTTTGAATGAGTATAAGTGTTCAATTGACAAATATGTAAGTTTGGGGACCGGCATGACAAAGTGGGTGAAGTACAAGTGCCATTTAGGCTATTCTGCCTTTTAAATATTAAATATGCAACTAAATGCAAACAAAAATTAACAAGAAAAATCTATAAAAATTAAAATAATTAAAACGAATCTATTTTGTGATTTTTGTAGGAGTATTTTAGTCGGGAAAAATCACGTGCTCACATCTATGAAAAAGTTTTCCATGAAAACATTTTCCTTCATGCAAAACACACCCTGATTGTCTACCATTTCAAACGTTTACATTTGAGTTTTATTAAAAAAAAATTGTGTACTACCTTAATATGAAAAATCGCGAAACTCACCATCTTCATTATCAAAGAGTTTTATATGCAAATTCAAGTATAATGAAGCCACAACTTATACTACTACTAGTCAATTAACCCGCGCTTCGCGCGGTCAAAAAGAAAATTTTCAAAAAAAAGTTTACTATTTCTTATAAAGAATCAATTTACATTAATCAATCATCTATCTGTGATCTACCATAAATTATTATAACAGGTAAATAACTCATTATAACCGATAAAGTATAATTGTTCCTGAAACATAATCTTTTAAACTTTTAATGATAGTGCATATAAGAAATACTCTCACTCATACACTTTATACTAAATAGAAGAAGTGTTTGAAAATTAGAGTACTTATAATATTATATTGCTCCTATTGAGAAACAAAAACATTGCAAATATCGACTTAAGAAAATAAGAATTTGAAACATAAGTATTGCACTAATGAAAGCTTCGAGGAATTCTGCTTCTACCACCCACTATTTCCTTCTCTTTCACATTTCAGGAATATTGCTTGTTTGGCTTTAATTCAGCAACAACCATAACTCTCAACCTACAAAAACTCCATATTCTCCGTACCAATCAGCGTTCACAATTTGATATGCTTCAGCAGTTAATATGTTGTCATGGAAGAAAAATTATGACCTTAAAAAACAGTCATGAAGATGCACATAGACCTTAGACATTATCGACAGATGGTTCACTGCAAACATATTAGCTAGAATATGATTTGAAAGAGAGCAGTACTTACAGATGCTGGAAAATAATCCTAAACTCAAGCAGCAGTCAAGAAATTTTAACAAACAGGAAAACACATTTCACAAGAAATACGAAAAATTTTCTCGGAAAAACCTTAGTGGCACACTGAGTAAAAGCACAACATCACCACAATAAAAAGAAAATTTTCGGTGAAATAATGCATGTGTAACAGTTGTTCTCGAGTTGGCAATTTCTCTTTTCTTCAACTTCACCATACTTTATCCAAGAGATCTTTCTTGTTCAAAATAAATTCGAAACAATAGTCACAATACCAACAAAAGAGATTAAACTAAGAATGTAATTCATTAATTTTTATTGCCTTCATCACTTAAAACTCCCGGCACCTTCAAAAGCCTATTTATTCTCACTTGAGCATATCTCATTATATATTATACAAAAGAATTAAGTTTGGTTCTTCCAGAGCACCATTATTTGAACCCAACCAAAAACACTAACAAACGAGGCAAATTAAAGCTAATCAATACAATACAAATGCACTCTAGGCAGATACAAAAAGTCGGAATCAATTTTCTCAAAATTTACAACATACGTAATTAATTTAAATATCTGCATAAATACATAAAAATAGAGGAAGAATCAAGCAATTGAAATCTAGAGGAGATTTACGTTGGCCGACGGAGAGAACGAAGGGAGAGATGGGTATTTAACTGGCGAAAGAAGAGGAAGAAACGGTTGAAGGAGGTGTTGTAACGGAACAGGAAGTGAAGCGACGTGTGAAAGTAATAATAAGAAGAGCCACAATTATTAGGATTATTATTATAAAAGGTAACTTTAGAATTTTTGACAGAGCACTTAAAAGAAAAAATCAGGAAAAAAGGAGAATGACGATACTTGAGATTCTTGGGCAATGAGAGGTGACACGTAGGCAGGCTTATGTCCCTGCTTTATATTTATATATAAATATAGATTAATTAGCAAAAGAGACATTAATTTGATGACAACGCAAGTGTAATTGCTTGCTTAAACTTTATTATCCGAATAAAATGACAAGGTTCTGTCAAAAAGTGGATATATAATATAAGGTAGGGTCATACTTTAAGTGTTGTGTATATTGTAAGGTCAGAATCCAATATATATGGTATTATTTTTTTTTCTCCATAAAAAGAGCAATAGTGAAGCAATAAATAAAGGAAGAATAAAGTGTAGATGAATCAATTTAAGTAGAAACTTGATACGACTTAGCTTTTATGTTTGTTAAACTCAAAGATAGGATGCAACTTCGATAACAAAATTGTGTATGAGTTAATTACTTTCTCCATATTTGTGTATGAGCTGACAAACCACTCATTTTACTAGTTTGAGGACAAAAAAGATACTTGTTCCAAAGTACTAATTTCAATAGCAAAGAATGGAAACAATGAAATAATGTTTTCTTGCTAGTCAAAATAAAATATTGCATGAAGATTCAATAGCACGATATGTGATTAATGGGGAACGAAGGGATCGTACGGTGCTTAGATCCATATTTCCAGCTTCACATGTATTAGGGTCATTAATGGTGATTAACTTTGTTCCCAAGAGAGGTCCCTTCCATCTAAATCACATTAGTACTATTTAGTTCAAAAGCTGCCAATGGTAAAAAGAAGTAGCAAATCCACACAACTGATGAGTTGAAAATGATTCATGAATATACCAAAAGTGTTCCTAGATTAATAGAGGCGAAACTATGATGTTAACTTTACAGATTTTGAGTTCTAAAAAAGGCAACATATATTGTGATCTTTTAATACAACAGATTCAGGATGAAACTATTAGGTTCTGTCGGACGTGTAATAGAATAGTAGCTCCGCCTCTGCCTAGATAATATACTCAATTGGATATCTTTGATGGTCAATGTAAAAATTGAAGTACAAATTTAGACATCATTAAAAATTGAAGTACAAATTTGTCTCAAATTTATTTATGTTCATTACTATGGTTTGTGATTAATATAATGAATGTTATTGATGAAGATACTGTTGGGTATTTGTGATAGTTTTTAGAACTTGTGGGTATAAGTCATGTTTCAAAAAGAAAAAGCGAAATATGTTTTGAAAGCTGATGTCCAAATACATTTTCATCTTCAAATCAAACTCAACCAAATCGAATTTTTTAAAACAAATTTGGAAATCTATAGCCAAGCGCTAGCTAAATGTTGGGATCACAAAGTAACATAAAAATTCCAAACTTGGTGGACTCTATATGCTAAGTGTCAAAGTCTAAGGATCAAACCAACCAACATTTAAGATTAAGGGTCTAATTGGGTTATTGTCTCTTGAAGAAGCAAGCACGTCCCTTCAACTTCTTTCTCTTCCATCACTTCCTCTCTCAGATTTTGACTGAGATATATGCATACATATATACTCCATATTTACATTTCCACATTAGAAAATTTATCAAACTCAGTGTAA